TAATCTTTTGTAGTCTGCCTCCAGTAATTCCAAGAAATTTTCCTCCTCTGGAAAATTTCTAGATTCTTTATTTTGGGAGCTTGCTGAAGCCATCATGGATTGCCTCTTTATGTGATTTGATATTCACTGTTGTCTCTGAGTCATCAATAAGTTATTATATTTATTTATTTTATGTTTGCTTACCGTGTCCTAGCTTCTTGTTTTGTTTTGATATGCCCATAGGCTGCTTGTATGAGCTAGTTTGATTATTGGCACCTTTGAAGCTCTAAAGTCCTGTCACCAGGTGGTTAGATCTATTAGTAGGTATGTGAGCTCAGGAGTCCGCCCACTCCTCCTGTATGAATTCAGCTCAGGTGCCCAGGTAGATAGCCACCAAGTGTGTGGTGTAGGTGCTCACTTACAGTCCTAGACAGGCATGGGTGATTGGTGTAGGCACAGGCATCTGGCTGCAGCAGGGGGACACACTCTGAGCAAGGCACCGGGCTGATGGGCACCCTCGAGTGTCCAGGAGGAAGGCATGTCCCTGTTCCCTAGAGCGCATAGGTGGGTGGGTTTTGCAGCTGGACTATAAGCACCTAATGCTGTTGGCTGTAAGGACTGGGGGGGCACCTCTTATTCATGGGACCCTCTCACAGGTAGCTAGGCAGTGTGGGTGGAGCTACCTGTCCTCAGGCCCCTGATGTGGGTAGGTGAAGACCCTGCTTAATGGGCAGAGCTTAATGTCAAGAACCTGCCACTTCACAGCTGAAACAGTTGAAGTTAGACTTCTGGTATATACCCTGTTGTACTGCAGTAATGAGGGCCTACGCTGTTGTGATGGGCCCACACAAATCTCTGCAGGGGGAAAGGCACTCAGAGTCCGTGGATCCCTTATGCCTGTGCCTAGGCAAAGGAACTGTGCCTACCCTGGGTTCCTGGTTTAAGGGAGCTGGCAATTATTTTTTCCTCTGTTTGTTAATTTGTTCACTCTCCAAGGCAGGGAGAATGGCTCCAAGTGTGTGACAGATCCTACTTCCAGTCCAGGGGACTCAGCAATTGCTGAAGCCAGTCCGGGACCCAGTGCAGTGCAGGGACCAGGGAGGTAAATGCGAGAGAAGTTTTTCTCTAAGGGAGTGTTTTTGATCCGTGCAGTAAGCCATGCACAAGTACTTATCTTTTGTGGAGGGCTGCTTCTCACAGGTTCTGGGTGGCCATGTAGACTCTCTGGTGCTGGGTCTCTCCTGACTCAGAAAATGCACCTCCTGAGCTCTGCCACTTGCCTGCTTCACTGCTCACCCCCGAGCTGATCAGGCCTGAAGGGCTCAGGCTCTCGCCGGTCAGGAATGGCAACTCCTTGCTGCTTCCAAACTGTCTCTCCCTCCCCCTGCCACTCAGTCCAGTTCCTCAACTCTGCCTTTGATGTTCAGGGCTCCCAGATTGCCATATATAATCGAATCACTTGGTTTTTTTGGGTCTTTGTTGTAACAGGGTCCACTGGAAGCGTCTGACTACTCCACCATCTTTGCCCCGCCTCGACAGGCGATTTTAAATCTTCATATTTTTTGCTTATCTGTAATTTGTAATTTTTGACACATGAACATATTTCTGTCATGAGACCCAAAAAATGCTATTTTTATTTTTAAAAAATGTATCAAATTATGGCACAACCACACTGCCAAGGGATGAAGGGCAGAGGGGTGACAGGCTTGTGAAAGCAGTATCTTAGATAGGGTAAATATCATCCTTAAAGCCACTGTGAATGGAACATAAGAGCTACTCAAAGAACTGTGGCTCATGAAAATAACTAAATCTGCAAATAAAATCTATATTCTAGTTAAAGTTATTTCTTAATTAAGGAAGAATTACTTTAAGGGTCAAGAGTTAACAACTTAATCACAATAATGATTAAAACACTATGGTATACAAACCACAGTCTGTCAGAACAAGAACTAGAACTCCTGAGATGGGAGCAATGTATTCACTCCCTGGTTATTCTCAAGACTCTAGAGCCAGAATAGCTGAGTGCAAACACAAGCCCTCAAGAAACACAGGAAACCAAAGCAGTGCACTCTGTCACCATCTACCACCTCCTTCTCTTCTTACTCCTTTCAAGCTTTGAAGATTCCAGAAATCTTCAAAGTGGAAAAGTGTAACAAAAGCACACTTCCATTACAGATACTAATGTTTATATGTGGACTGCACAAAATCCCAAAGGACACATACAAATTTTTTTCTCTAATATATTTTTCAATTTTTCCCATTGAAAAAATAGTTGTATAACAGCTACTACACTATTGAATCAATCCTGCAGAAATTTCTTATTCATTAAAGTCACTCCAAATAAAGTTCCTCAATGAGATGCTAATCCAGGACAACCATGTATAAGACTAAAAATTTAATACAAGCTTAATTAAAACATTCCCTTAAGTATTTTTCTTACATATATTAGATGTTTTCTTTTTGGATACTTATACTTACTGACACAAAAACTTTTAGATGTCTTGTATTCTACAGAATCACCCAATTCAATTAACTTTGTCCTTTTTACTCTCATATAGTATTTAAACCTTGCTGGATTATCTTTTCTTGCAATCAACTCACTACCATACTATTTGCTTATGGATTTTCTTTCCCTCTTTTTCAAGAGCCTTTTCTTTCTCTTGACACATTTTTATTTTGTAAACTATTCTATTTATGAAACAACTTAGTAGAGATTTCTGACATGATGCACAGAAGGAAAGTTTTATTTCAGTTCTTTTCCTTTCCCAAATGTTGCCAGTGAAATTTGGAACCTATGGATAAACTGAGCTATAGATTTTTTGTTTAAGAAGAGGGCAACACTTCATGTCTTTCTTCATCCTTCTAGAGACTGTTCATGCTGTAGAGAATCTACTGACTGAGGGGCCTCCGATTACCTGTTACTGTCACCCTTCAGATGAACCTATTTTCTTCTTAATCAATAAAAATGTAGAGGGAATTATTTTAAATTTTTTTTTTAAAGAAAGCTATCCTGGATAATTTAAAATTATTTACTCCATTTGAGTATTTTAGTATTATTAGAAGAAAAGAAAACAGTGATTTCTGGTGGCATGTGCCAAGGTATGTAAAAGAGAAAAACAACAAAATTTCTCCAATTTTATAAGAATATTATATTATTAGCCCTACATTTGTTTGGACTAGCAGTACATCTACTAACCATCAATAGCCCTGTGAAACCTGATTAAATTCTAAAGCAGCAACTAAATAAATCAGTTAATAGAGAAAGTGGAATGAAAGAATATGGAAATGAATTCCAGGTCGTTGATTCCTCTTCTAAATAAGAATTACAATGTTTATATGAAATAAATGGGAAACTGAGAAAGTGTTGTTATAATTGTAAGGTTATTTTACATGTTAAGAAGCCTGCTACACAGAAAACATTTTTAAATTTTATACCACTTCTAACAAAGGACTATGCAATCTTCTAACTCAAAGGACTATGCAATCTTCTAACTAAAGAACACTTACAAGAGTTTTCTGATGAATGGTTCACCAACGGTTGTTAATATAAAAGAGTCTTTCCCCAAAGAAGGATTAAGGAAATGGCATAGAGTATGTTCACGAAAAGGTTGGCTCAGGATTCTCCCTGGAAAAGGGGAACATCAAGCTACAAACTACAGCACAGCAATCAGACAATGTGTTCAAAGGAAACACAGCCCATTTCAGTTTTAACAGAGCTGTAAAAACAGAACAGCCTGCACTGATTATAATTCAGTGTAATTTGTAGAATTCTAAAGACACAAAGCACAGTTCATACTAAACCAAACTTAAGTGGAGAGTACTTTAATTAACCACTGCTATAAAATACTTGCACTGAAAATAAATAAATATGTATATATAGATATCCTTTTCTTCTAAAATAACAATATTACAATTATAATATTCTTTTCCCAGCTATTGGGGAGAAAATAGAGATATCTTAAACTCCTAAGGAAAACAGTATGAAGTCTTTAAAAACTGTGTCTTTTGTTGGGCTATTTTTAATCACAAGACAAAAACAAATACCAGATCAGACCCAGCAAGAAATAGTAATCAAACTGAACTATGTAATGTATAAAAGTTTAAATACTGTCTAAACTTGAGGTGACGAATTCAAACCTAACAGGACCAAGCAATCAACTTAAAGGAATGAATCAAGCCAGATACAGCAGTAAGGAGCACTGGGGCCTTTGGCTAAAAGGAAATTACATGCTCCACCTAAAGACTTGCAAATTTCACCGGGAAAAACAAAACAAAAAAGACACTGTTGGCTAATAAGGACTGCCAATTTACAATATCTGTTTTAAACACTTTAAGTAGAAAGAAAAATCTCCAATACTGCCCTTCTAATCTTAGTGAAAATGAGCAGGGGCTGAAATGAAAACAAATTAAGAAAAGTTAACAGAAACAAGCTCCTCAGTAAGAATCCCTAAAGATATGCAACAAGCATAAGCACACGGGCTGGCATCAGTTTAGGGAGAGAGAAAGGAAAAAAAACAATGCAATGAAGAATACAAAAGAACAAAGAAACTTAAAGAGAAGCATCTATACTCCAAGCAGTTTTCCACAGTGTCAACATGTCAGTTCAATACAAAAGCAGAAGTAGGCAGAGAACCTTAACATATTATTATAATCTTTAAAAATCAATACTAGTTACCAAGTGCCTTTCATTTTTTTTTTTTTTTTTTTAATTAAACAGGCATCATGAGTTTTAAACAGGAAAGTAGGGGCCCTTAACTTATCACTGAAATCTTTGAGCGCTAGTTAGCAAGACAACTCGTACTTGTTATCAAACAGCACTATAATTTCTGAATTTCTTGTTTATTTAGTAGGTCTGAAATAGGGACACTTCAGCTACCATTTTATGAGCTAAAAGCAATCTCCATACAAACACACCAAATACAAAGACTGACGTACAAATAACTCAGACAGCTTCCTCAGCAATACAATTAATTTTTTACCAAGTATAGAAAATAAAATTTTCATATGGACAAACATGTTACCTCCTGGACATCCTCTGGATTTCTTCGTGAAACAACCTACAACAAAACATACATAAAAATATCTTATCACCATTAAAATTGAAAATTTCATATTTCTACAATTACTTTTAACATATTTGTAGGAAAATTTTTCAAGTAATTTGCTTAAAAGAAATACCATAGTATGTTACTCACACAGAACTCGGCTATATAATAACTTTACTTTCTGAAACACATACTAAAGAATTCAGCAAAGCAGCAGCTAAAATAAAGTCCATGTGTTACAGTTCACGTGTTATACTCACAAGAGAATGCCTCGGCCTTGGCTCTTACTGGACATAATTCTAACAAGCTTGGCTACCCCATTCCTGGCCTACATATATAAATCAGAAGAATAAAAAGCAGCTGCACCTGGGCAACGTGTACAATGGATCACTTTGTTATTTCTTTCAAATGTATGTGAATCTATAATTAGCTCAGTAACATTTTCAATTAAAAAAAAAGCACAGACAGCAATATCTGTGAGAAACAATCCCTGCCCATCTAACAGCGAAGAAATAAACAAAAGTAACTTAAAAAATATTACATACAGGGACAAATAATTCCTCTACCATTTTTCCCAGAGCAAAAGGGGGGGGGGCAGCCTCTTTCAGACTTCTCTGATTATAAAGGGCCAAAAAGTCTAACACTGTTTAGAAAGATTTCCTGACAAAACTTTTGAAATGATGACAGCTGGGTAATTAAATTATCAAACAACATTGTAAGAACAGGAAAATCTCATGAGATACATAATATAATACTGTGTAAATGTAACATTTGTAAACTTGAAGCTACAATATGCATTTCACAAAAACAAAAAGATACAGCAAGCACATTAGAATGGTTGTCTGTGGGTGGGAGAAAGAAACAGGTGGGTCTCTGCATCAAGCATCGATGACGCTATACCAGGATCTGGACATTGTGTTCAACTCTACTCTACTCCTGAGGTCAAAACAAAACCAAAAAATATAGGCTGTAAAGTCAGACAAACCTTGGTGCAAATTAAGGTTGCCCAACTACAGGCTGGATCTCATCGATAAAATGGGAATAATACCACTTGCCTGGCCTGGCTGTTGTAGATATCAAATAAGAACACAGCAAAAACTCCATAATTAAAAAGTTAGCTTCCTCTCTCCTCTAACAGAAAATTTAACTATTCTGGAAGATCCCACCTAAGAATTCCAGAGAGCAAAGTTTTCCAATTTCTTACTACTCTGTCCTCCAACATTCAGAATATGTAAATTTGCTGAAATTCTTAGCACTTTACATTTTTTTAGAACAGCACTGTGCAACAGAACTTTCTGTGATAATGGAAAGAAATGTTCTCTATCTGCATCATTCAATACAGTAGCACTAGCCACATATACGTGGCTATTGAGCCCTTGAAACATGGTTACTATGACTGAGGAACTGAATTTTTAATTGTATTTCATTTTAATTAATTTAAATTTAAATAAAAATAGCCACATATGGCTAATGGCTGCCATGTTAGACAGTGTAGATTTATAATAATGGGCTAGAACAGGTAACTAATAACCATATATTATTCAAATATTTTATTTTAGCTATTACTTTTAAATACCAGCCCCTCCCTCCCGAAACACACACTGTTGGAAAAGCATAGTATTGCACATAATTAAATGATTTAATTTTGCCTCATGTAAAAGTCATAGACAACCAACCCACTAGCAATCCACCCACCAAAAATAAGCAATACATATCACTGATAATAAGGTATAGTCAGGTGTACCTTATATTTTACAAGTTATATAATTGCAGAAAATTCATAGATATCCTGAATATAGACCTCAATCATTTTATAAATGTACTAACGCATCTCATGATTTAAATAATCTCTCTTCACAAGCAGATCTTTTTGTAACAGAAGAAATGATGTCCTACTTTGCTTTGCATATTTGTACATTTTGGATTTTCTTCAGGTGATCCACTCCTGGAAATCAAACATATTTTGCTAAATAAGCAAAAACATATTAGCCATCTACTATAAAACCATAAAGAACAATGATGAGTCCACAAAGCATAACATGAATGGACCTAGAGGACATAATGCTGAGTGAAACAAGTCAGTCACAGAAGGACAAATATTGTAGGATCCCACTTTTATAAGAAGACAAGAATAGATACATAGAGAGAGAGACTAATGTTCACTGGTGGTTACTGGGGTGGGGAGAAGGATCACACTCTAGATCGTAGATACTTCTTACTTTGGGGGACGGGAAAAGTAGCACAGAATGTGGATGTAGTGAGCACAGCCTGACCAAAGTAAACAATGTCACAAAGAGAAAACAATGTTTACACTACAGAATGTGACATATATAATTTGGCAATGACACCAACAATGCCAACAATGGCCACAAAATGAGTGTACGGTCACATATGTATATGTATGTGTACAGGGGTAGGTGCGGGTGTATACATTATATGTGCACAGACAGCAGTATCAATATGTACATGTAAGTATCGATGTGTGTGCAGGCACATATATTCATAAAAAACAAAATTACAGATGCTTCTCAGACATAACCAAACACCTTGTAAGATTGGTTTCTAGGTTTGAAGGCTTAGGACCTTAGTCTCCTGGGATAACTCAGTTGACTGGCATAATATAGTTCACAAAGTTCATGTCCTGCATCCTAGTGAAGTAAGTAGTGTTTGGGGTCTTAAAAGCTTCCAAGCAGCCATCTAAGACACAACTATTGATCTGTACTTGTCAAGAGCAAAAGAGTAAGAAGGAAACCAAAGTCTCAGAGAAGAAACTAGTCTACAGGGCTAATAGTCTACACGAGCCATAGCCTTATCTACCCTGAGACCAGAAGTACTAGATGGTACCCGGCTACCACTATCAACCGTTCTGATCAGGGTCACAACAGATTGACACTGAAAGAAGGGGAGAAAAATTCAGAACAGAACTCAATTTCTTAAAAAGTCCAGATTTAGTGGACCAGTTGAGACCAGAGGACTCCCTGAGACTATTGCCCTGAGATACTTTTTAAAACTTTAAGAAAACTATCCTGAGACCACCTTTTAGCAAAATAACAGAGTGGCACACACAATAAAGGATATTACCCATAAGATTGGTGCTCTACAAAGAAGAGGAAGCAACACTTCCAAATTCATTCTATGAAGCCACCATAACGCTGATACCAAAACCAGGCTAAGAAGTCACAAAAAAAGAAAATTACAGACCAATATCTCTCATGAATATAGATGCAAAAATTCT